AACTGGTGGCAAGATTTTGCTGCCCAGGTAGAGAACCCGGTTGTAAAGGTACGTGACGTAGATGCTCACGTACACAAGAGCCGGGCCACTGAAGAACATCAAACCAACCCACAGATGGATCAGGCTGCTAAGATTGAAGTGCCTCAGGTGGATCTGGACTGGCAACACAAGGGTGAATTATTTATAGCTCCATGGGCCCACAATACCTCAGGCCATCAAGGAAAAGATGCAACAAACATATGAGCTCATGACCAATGGGCGGACTTGACCATGGACGCTATTGCACAGGTTGTCCATGTATGTGAAACTCGCGCTGCAATCAAACGAGCCAAGCAGTTAAAGCCTCGCTGGTATGGAGGACAGTGGCTGGAATATAAATATGGGGAGGCCTTGAAGATTGATTGTATCACACTCCCACAAACCAACTATGTGCTCACCATGGTGGAAGCCACCACCAGATGGCTAGAAACACATCCCATGCCCCATGCCACCGCCCGGAACAGTATCGTGGGTCTTGAAAAGCAAGTCCTGTGGTGACATGGCACCCCAGAAAGAATTGAGCCGGACAACAGGACTCATTTCCAAAACAGCCTCATAGACACCTGGGCCAAAGAGCATAGCACTGAGTGGGTACGTCACATCCCCTATCATGCACCAGCCTCTGGGAAAATCAAACAGTATGATGGGCTATTAAAGACCACACTGAGAGCAACGGGTGCTGGGACATTCAAATGTTGGGATACACATTTAACAAAAGCCACCCGGTTAGTCAACACTAGGGGATCTGCCAGTTGGGCTGGCCCTGCCCAATCAAAACTCTTACGTGCTATAGAGAGGTATAAATTCCCTGTAGTGCACATAAAAAAAAATGCTGGGGAAGACAGTCTGGGTTATTCCTGCCTCGGGCAAAGGAAAACCCATTTGTGGGATTGCTTTTGCTCAAGGACCTGGGTGCACTTGGTGGGTAATGCAGGAGAATGGGGAAGTCCAGTGTGTACCTCAAGGGGATTTGATTTTGGTTGAGAATAGCCAACGCACTGAACAATATGATGTGAATTGCTATATAATACTGGATATCATCACTTCTATGGTGGCTATATGCCATATCAACGGTACTATAGTACAAGTATCACAATGAAGAGTGAATGTTGACAAAACTGAGCAAGTGCAGCAGTGATGGAACCAGAACTAGCTTCAGCATGCAACAATCCAACACCACACACGATCTCTCCTGCCTTGAAGGACTGTTATGACAGATGGAGCCCAAAGTCATGGACCAAATGTACTCAACGGACATTTTAGCGTGATGGCCCGTAGACTAAGGAATTTATATGTGTATGTATATATCAAAAGACAAGGAAAGTGGTGGTGATTAATTGGAATGTATTGGAAAGGGTAGGACCTAGGCATGACACAGATGGTATAGAATAAGTGGTGGACAATGTCCTCGTTTCAGTTGTGATAGAGTTAATTTTCTTCCTAGTAGCGGCTGGGGCAGAGTTAATTTTCTTCCTAGTAGCTGGCATAGTGCTGTGTTTTGGATTTAGGATGAGAAGAATGTTGATAACACACTGATGTTTTAGTTGTTGCTAAGTAGCACTTAGACTACGTCAACGACTTTTCAGCTTCCCCTGCTCTGCCCAGGTGCACAAGAAGCTGGGAGGGGGCACAGCACAGACAGCTGATCCAAACTGCCCAAAGGGGTATATTCCATACCATATGACATCATGCTCAGTATATAAACTAGAGGGAGCTGGCTGGGGGGCAGTGACCCCTGCTCAGGGATGGGCTGGGTGTGGGTCAGGTGGTGAGAGGTTGCATCACTTGTTTTTCCTGGGTTTTGTTTCTCTCTCCCTCTTGTTGTTTTCCTTTTCATTACAATTTTTATTATTAATAATATTATTATTATTTTATTGCAATTATTAAACTGCTCTTATCTCAACGCATGAGTTTTCTTACTTTTGCTCTTCAGATTCTCACCCTCATTGCGCTGGGGGAGGAGGGTGAGCAAGTTGCTGTGCCGTGCTTCGTTGCCAACTGTGGCTAAACCTTGACAGGCTGATAGCATTTTCCATAGCTACTCACCATCATGTGCATGAAGTAGAGAAACACTGACATCCGCATTTTGATGTAGAACAAAGACTCTTCCAATTTAAGGCCTTGGTTCATAGGCATTTATGGATGCAATCATGAAATTACTTGAATCAATCTGAAGCATAACCCAGCCTTTGTAAATTGTAGTAGTGGGTCATTTGGCTATGTTTTTCTGCCACCCTAATACCATGATATAACTATCTCCGGAAGAACTGCCTATAGTCATACAACAAATAAGCAAAAGAGCAGAAAAATGGATCCTGAAATTGGAATATGAATACTTTCTGATGATCTCCAATATGTAACTTTTTTCTTATGTTAATACAGACACTGCACCTGCAGTTCTTTGCGAAATTATGTGAAATGCATGGACAAAGCTTTATTGCTCTCCCCTGTGTGCTTGGAAAGTCAGACAGCAGAGCTGTTGTTGCTTCATTCTGCAAGAAAGCAGAGCAGGGCATTTCTACCACTCTACACAATTAAGAACTTGGCATCAACTCTCCTATCAGTAGCAGTGATAGAGATTTTTGTGAAGGACAGTTAATGGTATTGAATTTGTAAATGCTATTAAACAAAACGCACAGTTGCTACTTTCCTAACCCCAGAAATTCACCACGAGTTCCAGTAACTGTTGGACCACAGTATTTCAAGATTCTGTTCATATTCAGCCAAAAATTCAATCCTAGAAGATGAAAGTTCACTAAGAATAAAGTCCTTCTTGCTCTAGCAATAACTACAGTTTACTAAGATTCATTAAAAAAAAAAAATCTCGATACGTATTTTTGTTATTTTATTCCAAATTCTGCCCAAAGATGCCCAAGCAACCCCGCTTAAACTCAGTGGGATTTGAACCTCTCAAACTTAGGCCATTTCACATGAAGACTGAATTTTAACTGTTAGGTAAGTTGCAGGCACGCCTATGTCTACAATTTAACTATCAGAACATTAAATAATAAACTAAAACAATGTATGAATCCAAAATAATGAAAGGAATATTACCATGCGACTCTCCTCTATTTCTTTTATATATAATAGATGAAAGGAACTCCTGGATAATTCTACAGTTGAATATTTCTAAGTAAATTGATGTGCCGATCTCAGGACTTAAGATGTACTATGTGCATAGAATAGCTCCTTTTTGACTCAATAAATGTATTGCAATTAAATGTATTTTAAATGTTCATCTCTTAGAATTAATCTGGCTTAAAGAGACTCATCCTGCAATGAAAACGTTGAAAAATTCCCACGGACAGCTACAAAATTGTGTTCAGGTTTATCAAATGAATAAATATTCATCATATCTAAGAGTCATTCATGCTAATGAGGAACACATAAAAAATGTGAAGTGCACAGATATTTTAAGAAAGAGCAATACTAACCTAAATACAACTGGAGGACGACCATTTTTGTGTTTCACAAAGATACCATCAAGACATGCTCCAATGAATATGTCACTTCCTTGGCTGTCCTGTAAAAAGTTGCAAGAAGTTATGCAAATACAGAAAAAAAGTCTTTGAAAGTAAAGTTACTTGAGAAGCAAGTACTTTTACAATTCTAGGGGAGAAAAGGGGTGGTGTGGGTTTTGTTTTTTATTTATTTTGGGCAGGAAATAACCCTCTTTACACAGGGGAAAAAGCAACCGAGACAAAGATCAAAGCCCTGTTTACCTTTGCAGGATAGGTCTCTTCACCATAGCCCTCCATTCTCTCTACTTCTTGCATATATAACATCTCTGCATCAGGAGGAGTAAGGCCTCTACAAATGAAAACAACGATCAGCTACTACTGTCAATAAGAAAAAAAAAATAAAAATCTTTGTTTTACTCTAACTGACACTGTCACAGCTTGAAAAGCATCCCCAAGACATCCAGGCAACCATCAAATCATGCTGTTTTCATCTGTACCAATGGCTGATATATTTGTCTCAGCCTTTACACTTTGATTCTAGTAACTTCTTTTTCTCAGGCAACTCTAGGGGTAAATGGCATCAAAGACCAGTTGAAATTATCATCTCTGCTAATGGCAGACAATTATCACGTGCTTCTTCAAATCCATCATTGTCACCATATTTTCTCACTTTACCAGAATGATTATTCTGGCACATGCGTTCAAGACCTGAATTTCTCCTATTGCAGTATACATCTCTAGGACCAATACAAAGTTTGATGTTTCACATTTCAGGAAAGCAAGTCTCATTTTCTAAATGCTGACAGAGTTTTAACTGTAATGGTTTGAAAACATGAGAAGGACGAGACCTGTAGGTAAATGTAATTTTTTTTTTTAATTAGACCAACTGGCAAAGACAGTTTTCTCACAGACTTGCAGTAGTGTCACAGGGATTAAAAGCTTGTGTTTCCCTACCTACCTCAGCTGATCTCACAAAGACATTATCTCTACCTGCAGAATCCTGTCATGCTCATTCTTGTGTTACTCAATTACTTTTTCAATCACCAACCTCTCTGTTTTTTCACTTTTTTGTAATGTCATACAGAGTAAGTTTTCTTTGCTGAACCTTAACCATGCAATCTTGTTACAAAAGCATTTCAAAGGTAAACGGATTTGAAATTTTCAAACTGTTGTTTTAAACCAATACAGGAAAAAATAATCAGTATTATTCACACAGTCACAAACATTTTTCCCTGATAAACTCACTGAACTGATGAACTTAACTTTCCTTTGTCTTGGACATCTTAGCTACCTTTTACTTAATAAGATCATAAGCATTCTGGCACAGTGACTGTCTCTACACTTCTACTGCCCTCAGTATCTGCCAGTGACGTTTATCAAGGAACATCCTTACTGGGGTCAGAACTTCACATAAACAAGTTTCAGAAATTATATACAGGTAAAGTCACACTATCTAATTTTGTCCCAGATTCTTAATTTTCAAACAGAATCCTCTCATTTATCTTAATGGTCAGTCTGTTCTCTTTTCACTTTCATTGAGCAAAAAATTCTTTTAATTTTAATGCAGATCTATCAGTGAAAAACTCATTTAAATTGGAGGTGAGATTAGTTCAACTGTCTTCTGAAATTCCCAGCTTCCTGTACTGAAGCAATCACATCAAAATTAAGCAATAAAGAGTTTTAGAAATGTTACCTGTACTTCTGATGTAGCAAGGCAACTTTCTGTGTCGCTTCTTCCAATATTTTTTCCTCTTGTAGCCAACCCTTAAGGTAAGATAGTATTTATAGAATGAAATACAAAATATTCTACAAAAGTTAATGGTTCACAAGTGAATCAACCTTCCACTCCAGTCTTGGAGCTTAGATGTTGTAATGTGAACACAAACAAAACCAAAAAGCACAATGTTTTGAAGGGGTTTTACTCACTTTCCCATCTCTACCCAGCCTTGTTTTCAGTGTAATATGTCATAAAATTGAAAAGATCTTGCAACATCTGTGCTTCTGTGTAATATAAGGTATCGTATTTCACTCCAGACTCAAAGAAAATCTTTACTGAATTTGATAATCTAGGGAGCAGTAAGCTAGATGTATCATGGAGTCTTTAACAATGGTTTGCATTTACCAATCTAAAGAAAGATTTAAATTTAACTTTATCAATTTAAAGTAATTACTTACCACTGGAAACAAAGCAAATCTTTGTAGAAACTCCTGAGATTCATACTGATCATAGTCTCCAAAATCAGCTAAAAAATAAAAAAATTATTGGAATCAAACATTTGTAACAAAATTATTCAATACCCAATTAATTGCAGCAGGATCTCCAAGTAGCAAATCTCCACCCTATTGAACTATGATCTGAAACTAAAACAACAGAACAAACTAACCAGTCATGTTTATGAAGAAGAAAAGGAAAACCACATCCCATCTTTTTACCTTGTTCAGAAAAATTGATAACACTCCTTGTGGGTAGGAAAGGAGAAGAAACGATAAAACAATCAGTGTTGCTCCAAGTTCTTTGGGTTTTTATTTGTTTGGTTTTTTGATCACAGAATGGTTGAGGTTAGAAGGGGCCTCTGGAGTTCTAGCCCTAAGCAGGGTCAGCTACAGCGTATTTTCTCGGAGCCTTCTCTGGTCAAGTTTTGAATAGAGAGGATGGAGACTTTACAACTTCTCTGGGCAACCTGTTCCAGTGTCTCACCACTCTAACAACAGAAAACTCTTACTAAGTTTAGATTAAATTTCCTGTATTTCAATTTGTGGCCATCACCTGAGAAGAGTCTGGCTCCATCTTCTTTACTCCCTCCTGTCAGATACCTAATTACTGGCAGTATAGCACCAGCAGACTGCTGTAACTTGCAGATGGACTCTGACACCGCACAGAGCAGCTGGAGCACCCTTCCACCTGCAGGCCTTCTACAGCTCCCTGCACCCAGACATGCAGAAAGGGGGCTGTAGAAGCCTTCCCAGACTCACAGGCATGCTCAGAAGGGACTTAATAACAGTTTTGATTTTAATAACAGTTTTGATTTTACATCATGCCGTTAATTTAAAACCTGCATTTTTACTAAGTTGTTTTTCACTGTGTTATCAACACACACAGTTTCTCTCTCTTATACAAGACTGAAAAAGGAATGGGAAAGCTAAAAGGATAAATATTTTCCATCTGGAAAGAGGAATATATTGAAAGATTTCTATAAACAACTCACTGTGCGGAGAGACATTTACACTGTCCAAAGATATGAAAATAACAAAGCAAGATTTTGTCAGTAGAAGACCATTAAATCCTGGCTTGGATTAAACAGATTCGCTGTTATATAAACAAGTCGCTAATACAATTCACCCTACTCCACTGGTAACCACATTTTCAAAAAACATAATCATTGTCTTTAATGTGATACCACCAACACATATAATTAAAAAAAAAAGACAAAAAGAAGTTAAGTTGTATGTACTGCCAATGATTTTAAGTCCCTTTCAATTTTGGCAGATTTACAATTGCTGTTAGATATACTGGAGTGGCATTCACTGTGAAGCAATATACAAACACACTAAACAAAGCTGTTGCTATTAAAAACTTTTATTTTGAGAGATTTAAGATCAAACAAGCATGTTAGCAGGGAACTCCAGACATGATCAGTGCAGACAGACTTAGGACTAGTAGTTGTCTGGTGTATGCTTCAGTTCGGAAAAATAAAATAGCCATTTTCATGTAGATATCACAGAAACGGGTCTTCAGGAGCGATTTGAACATAGGAATTGTTAACAGTCTTGCACGCTAACTTGAAATAATCTTAGGTGTTAGGATATTTTGGAGAAAAAGTGGAGATACAAGTACTACCGTACATTCAAATTTGCTTATTTATTAAAACATATCTCTCTCTCTCTCATTACCATGTCAGAATAAAGAGTCTTCGTTAACAGAAACAGATGAAAGGTCTATCGATGTGAGCAGATGACTAAAGCCCTTGCCCTCAAAGGAACTCTGATGTCTAATTCAAACCCAGCTCCTGAAATACATGTTAGATACCCTGGTATACCTCTGAGGATTGCACAGAAATACTAGCAAGTCCAGGGCCACTGATCCCACTGTTCCCCCTCCTCAGCCCATATGATGAAGTTCCAAGGAGCAAGCCTTTCACAACTTACTGAGTTGGGTCTTTGAGCAGTAAATGGAAACTGTGCAATAGAAAATATATCACCAAAGTTCCTAATGCAACATTAACTAATTGGCACAATTGCCTTACTTACCCTGAACAGCTAAACCAGCCAGATGTATCGCTTGTTCCAGGGTGCAAGGAATGTTGCCCTCCAAGATATCTTTCTTTAATTGCAAATAATACTGATACCTACATGGGGAAAAAAAGAAAAAGCTAACACAGGCTTCTTAATTTAAAGAGAGTGCAAATGAACATGCCTGCATTTCTTATGTCTCTCTGCATTCCCCAGTTTCTGTGGAGGGTGGTCTTCCTCATCATTTGTACTCACTATTTCATGGTCTTTGTTAACTCCTCCCTTAGCTTTCACGTAACACTGCAGAATCAAATACTCTTATATCTCATCAAATACCCTTATAATCAAATACCTCTTAAAACAAAGAATCGCCATGATTTCTATCTACTAGGCCAGGTTGGATGGGGCTCTGAGCAACCTGATCTAGTTAAAGATGTCCCTGCTCACTACAGGGGGGTTGAACTAGATGACCTCCAAAGGTCCCTTCCAACCCAAAACACTCTATGATTCTGCAATACTACCATACTCTCCTAAGTTTTTTATTTCTACCTCTTCCTTCCTTAATATTCTTATCTCCTCTTTACAATATTCAGTAAGCTGCTGCTGTATTGCTGCATTCTCTTCCAATAGATTTAAGATCACGCATCCCTTCAATCACAATAATGACTTTCTGCATTACAACTTCTGAGTAAATTTTGTTCTCACTTTCAAGGCACCATTTTTTCCCTCTAATCCAAACTTTTCCTGGGTTGTCTCTTGTACATGCAACTGCTACTAGCTGTACAGTTTGTCCACAGTCTGAATGACTATTTTGAATTCTTCTGCCCCTTTCAGCCATCCATGGAACACCCTATCTGGAGCCCAAAACACCTCAAAACTCAAAACCGCCATTATAGCTACACAGACTTTTCCAGGAAGGACATATGTCTTCTGTAAGTCTAGTTTTAAAAGCTTCTTAACTTCCTCATATTGTAGGTTAACTCTTGTAAAGTAAGGCTTTAATACCGAGAACATGGAAGCACATGCTGCAATTCATTCAGTGATTAGAAAGGTCAGGTAAACACCACACAAATTGTCATCAGGCTAAAAGATGTCTCTCTTCCCTCACTATTTAACAGCCTGTTAAATACAGTGACATTTTATAAATATTGTTTAGGCTCTTCTGGATCCTACTACAGAAAAGCAGTATGTCATGACAGTAGATAATATCCTTATACAACACACACAAGAACAGCTGGGTCTAAACTCAGGCCTTAAAAAAACAGGAAAGGAAAAAGTCACTGCGTATCAAGGCATTTGGGGATATAATTCTTCCCAGTCAAGCAGTAGAATGTAAGCTCTTTCCATAGAACTGCTATTAAAAGTAAGCATACAGATGAACAATCTTGACGCTACCTCATGCTAGTACAAATACGATTTCCATTTCCTGGTATACATTAAACAGAGGATTTGCTTAAACATGCTCATTCTCATTTATATTGAAAAAGCATTAAAAAAATCCACAGATTTCTGAAACTAATCCAGACTCTCACTATCATACATCAAAGCAAGTAACATCCTCTAGGACTTGAGTATAAGGTTGGCACAAAATTCCTGCTTCCTACATGGCAGCATACTGCAAAATTGCTGTTAAAGCTCCAGCATAAACATCATATTCTTTAAATAAATGCCACAGAAGACTATTCGAGGTTTTTCAGGCAATTTAGCTATTCAATGCAACACATGACATTTACCTTACTCTAATGCATCCTAGTACACCAACAAGCACAGAATCTGAACCAAAGATTTATTAAAAAAAGAAAAAAGAAAGACCACTTGAATGACTTTTTAAGCCAGTAACATTGCTGAGAAAAAGCCCCAAATTTCAGAGTTTTCAGAAAGAAAATAATCTTACAAAAATTACACAGAAAAAACCCAAAAACTAAAGCTGCCAGGCATTACAGCACCAGTGTCTCCACCAAGAGGCTTATCTCCCTGAAAAGCTTTCACATCACAATTTGTGGGAAAGGTCTCTGGCAAAGTGTTTTAGCACCAGATTATATAAAGACAGTTTCATGTAACCACAGAATAAATTAAGATGGAAAAGACCTCCGAGTGATCATCTGGTTCAACTCCCCACTCAAAGCAGGGCCAACTTGCAGTTACCAGCTTAAACAGGTTGATTAATGCAAGCACATATTTCTGAAATACCAAATATATGTTTGTAATCCAGTTACTGATTTTGTACTAATTTGCCTGTTAAAAATAATAATTAAATCAGAAAAACTATACACATTAAGACACTAGAAGCCAATATATAGGCCCATAGGAATAACTGGCCAGTATACCTGCTCAATTTTACTTTTCCCCTGCAGTCAGCACCACTTATGTGACATTCCCCAGATTCACAGTAGAAATGTATGTATGATCTCAAAGCTAACATCCATCTTCATTGCTCAGTGATACACACACACAAAAAATCACAAGCTGAAGCTTAGCCTGTAGTTTGCCAATGTATTGTACTGAAAGTAAAGTAAGTACTGAAAGCAAAATAAAGGAAAGCATAGCTCTATAAAATCTGCATGTGCTTTGTGCAGGATGGACGTCCCTGAAAGCAACATATGGCTCTTCAAAACAAAGAGAGACAAACATGAAGGGACTACAACAATTAAAAGTCTGACCATGCAAGTATGCCTATTACTGAAAACAGGTTTGAATAGATTCCTAACATCACCAAAAAATTAGTTGTTTGCTTAGTTTGTCACATACTTTAAATATTCAAAAGGGAAATAAATACACAGTTTGAACACAAATTCTGACTAAAATAATAATTTCCATTTGGGGGTGGGGAGAGGGGAGGGAAGCAGACAATTTTTAAATAAACCATATATTTCAGAATGCCGAAAGCAAAATTATAGACATATGTATTAAGTTTACCTGGTAATCTACTGCTGAAGCTGAGAAACAGTAGGCACATAGAACACCACTCCAAAATACACAGTTGGCTCCAAGGCGTATTTGTCCAGCTGTTTTTTCAGAGGTTTGTCCAAATCTACCCATCTGCGCTGATTCTGCTTATTATAATACCACAGACTGAAATACGTAATCTGAAAAAGAGGCATTTAAATGATGAAAAAAAGTCAATATTGCAGTATTAAATAAAATCTATTGTGTGAACATCTTGCTACTTAGAAATAAAGGTTTTAAAACACTGACTAAGGCTATGGGTTATTGAAAACTTAGAGAACTGGAGAGACATTTAATATCAAAAGCAGACATTACTTCTAGATATGCAATCCACGTACACAAGGTCCCCCACCTAAAACATTACCAAACCTGCTCTTTATTTGCAAATTGTCCCTGACCCTGTTGTGGCAACTCACAGATGTTAGTAGTAAGCATTTATGTGTGACAGGAAAACTAGGGAAGTGCGGAAGGCAAATAGAAAATCACACTGGACAGCAGGAGAGTAAAGTATGGCTTCTCTGGTGAGCTGGCAGGCAGGCTCACATGAGATGCTGAAGGACAAAAGAGCACAGGACAGCTGGTCAGTCGAAGACAAGCTCATTAAAGCAATGCACGGCTCATCCCACGAGCCAGCAAATGACCAGGTACAGCAGAAAGCTACCTTGCCTGAGCAGGCAACTCTTGACCAAGCCAAAACACTGGAACAGATTGCCCCGATATGTAATGCAAAATGGTAAGTAAACTAGGGGACCAAAAACCAAAAGTAAGAGTTGAAGTTGAACTATATGCCATGAGCTATCTGATCTCACTTGCTAGGAAGAGCTCAAAAAAGAAAGCCTACTGTGCTGGCCCAGCCCATCTGCCCAACAGGTCAACCGCATCAACCATGTGATCTGAAACACCGAACCACAACCTTCTGGGTGAGTAGAGGCTAAGGCAGAGACTGAAACCTAAGGATAACAGCTACAGAACCACAATAGCACACCAATGAAGTCGAAAGACTTCTATACAAGATACCATACAAACACTTTTGGAAACCAACTAAAAAATGTATGCAAAAACTTCTAAGCAACTGTTTGAATAACTTTCATCTGCAGCCTTGGTGTATTTAACCCTCAAAGAAGCACAGATGTATAACAAGGTTAGGAGAGAAAGAGCACAAACTTGTGTTAACACCATCACCGTTTCAAACCTTCTGATGTAAGATACTACGGGCTCTACACCCTGAAGTCTAAACTGAACGTATAGCCTATTTTTAAGGCATGATGATCACTTGCACTGGTTTGTTTCTTTAAAAACACTGACTGCTTTTTCTTGCCTACGCACAGAACTGAGTAGCTACTGGCACAACAGACTAAGACAAATGATTCCACTTTTTAAAATAGTGGCACAACAAACTAAGAAAAATGATTCCACTTTTTAAAATATTCTCTGGAACCCATCATATCTTTAAGCAAGATTTTTCTGCCACGGTGTTTTCCCTTACAAACTCTTTCAATCTGGACTATCAAAAATAAAATAAAAGCCAAGCAAAACACTATGGACCAAAGTCTGTCTTTTGACTTGTATGCAAACCTTTCACTTGACTTCAGGGACAGAATTTGATCCTGTGTTTTCAGCGGAGCTTATGCACCCTGGAATATTCGCACTGATTAAAATAGAATCCATTTTTATTCATTGCTAAAACATTTTATTATTAGCAGCTCAGGACAACACCCAATTCTAAAAAGAATGTCATGACATAATTCTTAAAATATGTTAAGCCGTTAAGATTAACACTACTTTGAGGTTCATTTATTTTAATGACTTATTCATGACCCAACCCCTTTGAAGAAAATCTACTAGAAATAAAAAGAACATATAATTTCTGCACCGTTACTTTCTGCCTAGCTTCTTTCTGTCACTACAGACAGGAATAGTAAGCATTTTTCCATAAAAGTTCAAGAGTATCAAGAAGACAAAAGTACCAAAAGCCCAACACAGTATTACAGCTCACAAGTTGGTGGGAGTGATGTGACTTCATCTATGAAGTCAACCAGACTTCCTAAGCTAAGCAGAGGAGCTTTGTCAGGTACAAGTGCCACAAAACTACATTACTGTAGATGACTATATTGTATCTTTTGGCATGATGTATGATGAGAGTTGGAGAAGTGGGGCTGACCAGTCTTAAGAAGAGACTAACGTAAAATCTTACTGTGGACTTCAATTGCCTAAGAGCAGGGTATAGACAAGACAGAGCCAGACTTTTTGGAAGCGCTCACTACAAGTATGAGAAGCACTGGGCACAAGCTGCAATGTGGGAAATTCCAATTAGATCAGGAAAAAAATTCCACAACAAGACTAACTGAACACCGGAACAGGTAGCCCCAAAAGGTGTCAAATCTCTATCCTTGGAGGCACTCGAACTCACCCAGGCAAAGCCTGAGCCACCTGATCCAAGCTGGCTTTCCTGAGCAGAGGGTGGGATCGTGCACCCTGAGAGGTCCCTTCCAACTCAAACTATTATGTGATTCTATGCCATTATAAAATTGGTGCTGACAAAGAGAAACAGTTTACTGAAAAATTCTTGGATGTAAATTAAATAAAACCTTGGTTTTTTAAAAAAGAAGTATTATCTTTTACAAACTCATTAAAAACTGAGCTTTAAATCTTAGAATTCTCATCAGTTTCCACATCTGTTGAGCATACTTTGCTGTTCCTTATCTGTTTTATAATTTGAAATGGAATCAATGAGATAGTCCTTCTTCCCTCTACCAACTGCCTGATATTACTTAGTTCCAATTAACTGCTGTATTTCATTTTATTTTCCTTAATATGGATCAGCCTCATCCGTAATATAATTCCACTTTGGCTCTAATATAATCTAATCATCACTTGTATATATCAGTTATTCTGATTAGCAGTATAAAAAAAAAGTCAATATAGAATTTCAGGGTCTGTTTTGGTCACAGTTTACACTATCTAGAAAAGAAAAAAAAAATAAAAAAGTGACAAATGTATATGCCACGTATCAAATGTGTGTCATCTTCTCACTTGAGCTTAACAGCATCTATTATCATCCCCAAACTCGACCTTTTTTGACAATATAATATAAAGAAAAAGTTATGTTCCCTAGGATTTTCATACCATGCTATTACTGCCATCTTTAAAAAAGAAAAAGAAAACATTATTAAGCCTCAGACTAAAGGAAAAAAAAACTCAGCACTTTTGTGGATGGAAGCAAGGAGGACAAACAAATAGACTTTACCACACATTCCCCTGAGGCATAACAGTGTTCAAAGTCTACTTCAAACTTATGTATTTAATTATATATTTCCTAGCTCATTTCCATATCCTATAATACAAATCTTACAGAATATCTCACAGGTTACAAAAAGACTGGAAAAGAGAAGTGTTTTCTAATTTATAACACAGTGCCTTCTAATTAAGGCAATCTACTACCTGCCTCAAGTGTACACTGACCTGAGGAACCATCATCCTAAGATGTGAGGCAAGAAATTAAAAAAATAAATAAATAAATAACAGGGTTTACAGAAGAATGCAATCAAAATATGTTTTCAAGCTTTTCCTCTTTTACACTGGTATGTACAAATAAAACAAGCCATAAGACTTTCCTGAACACAGTGCTGAAAACACCATCTCATTACTGAAGAATAAGCACTGCAGTCGGACTTTATAAAATCCCAGTTAGCCCAAGGGCTCCACTGCGTCTCGCTTTATTACATGAGTGGATACAAAACAGCTCCTGCCATCAGGATATCACAGTTCAAATAAACTGCATGCAAGAGAACTGGGTCAATATTATTGTACCATGCACAACTGCCAGATACCAAGCCAAAGCTTTACCCTACTCCCAATGTTAAGAAATACAGAAGGTAACAAGAGGCCCTGAAAATTCTCCAGAAACTCCACTCTTACCATAGCAGACAACCTCCTCCATAAATCTTCCCAATCTCTAGGGGAGAAAAGATTTGGAGCAGCCTGGACTGGCCATTGTACAAGATCCAAGACTTCCTGGAAGTGGTGGGAAAAAAACCCCACAACTGTGAGTCTTGCCATGTACCAGCTGCACTCCTCTACATACTACCACAACCAATTCTTCTGGCAGAAAAAGGAGGACCTTTGGCGAGCCTCATAAAAATCCCTCCCTTTTCTCCATCTTGAAGCTACTCACTTTAGGGTACTTTTACTTATACTATTTTTGTTGTTCTAGTACTGACAAGATCTTCAACTGTAGCTGCAGGAGGGAGCATTTAACAGGGTAGCTATATAAATACAGGCAGAAGTCGGTCTTAAGTCTTAGTTCTTTCATCATGGAAACCTTTTTCCCCACACTCACCCACACGCAAATATTTTCTCCTAACTACTCCAATATGGGTTTCACAAACACTATTTAAACAAAGCAATTGCCAACCAGAGCTTAAAGCAAAACAGCAGGGATAAGAAATAAACAAACAAAATCAATACTTTGCAAGGTAATCTGACATACTCTAATTTATTCAAATTAAAACATTGTACAAATCACAACACACTGCGTTTTACACCCTTCAAATATCTTGAATAAACGGTCTTCTGACAGGCAAGGCAGATTCTACCCATCACTACATTAAGGTAAACTGGCTAATTTACAAGCTAAAGAGCAACACCTTCATAGTGCATAGAAGACATTACATCCAAGACATATTTTAACCTCTTGCAGAAACAGGTCAGTTATCAACATGACCAAGAAATGTAGAAACATAGTGGTTTTTTTTAAAAATCATGTTACTTTTTTCCACCACTGTCCAAGGCTCCAGGAAGGATGGACTCACATATCTGCTTTTGACTCACACCTTACACAGTGGTTCCCATTCACCAGAGGCTTAAATTCTGATTCCTTTACAACAGGGAAAAGCAAAATTTCAAAGTAGTCTAAAAATCCTAAACAATAAACTAATGTCTTCGTTTCAGAAGTAAAGAAAACCTCCTCTATCAAAATTAATATAAAACTGTACAGCAATTCACAGCCATTGTGACAGTGAAAAAATACAATGAAGTGGTATATTCAATTTCTGACCTAACTTTATAAAAAAGCTAAAGAAATCTGGGGCAAGGCTTCCTAACTGCCACTATTTCCTTCAAGGAAAAACCTTAATTTTGTGCTGCTCAGTGTAATAAGACTGTGTGCAAATCCTATACCCGAATGTATAGCTTTTTTTCCTTCAGAAAAAGGAAGTACTACAATAATTGCACTAAGCCAGTTACTCATTTTTGATGGACTACTCTGTCCTTCAATTTATCTTGATTGCTAAATTACAATTACAGCACACTTACAATTAATATATGTTTTAGATGGTGTCAAGTTTGTTTTTCAATAAAGTAGCATCTTTTAAATTAATTAGATTACACACTGAAAGTCTGCGTTTTTATATACATTCCTCCATGACAATTTCTCCTTTCCTAATTTTAAGGAAAACTTGGTTCAGAGAGGCAACCATAGCAGTTCAGCTATGAGCACTGCTTCTCTTCTTTTTTCTCCAAGCATTAACTAAAATTTTGTCAGACTTTGATACAAGGCATAAACATAGTATGTTAGTGACCCCTCTGTCATGACTTGGCCCAACTTTCAGTTGCCAGTCAATATGTTTACTGATACATGCACATGTAAGAACATTTATGGTTGCACTTGGCCTTATTTTAAAAATACTCTTTACATATGCAAAACACACATTTAAGAAACCACCACACTGCACTGGTGTGGTATTTTTTTTGTGTTTTCTCCAAACAAGAGCTGATATTTTAGAATTTAGAGCAAAGTTTTACAGCATAGTTCAAGCATTTCTGAAGCACTGTTTCAGAACTCTGAAGTTATTCGGGATCTGGATAATCTTGATTCCTTCTTTCCTATTCATGTCCAAAACAAACACAGGAACCTGCATATGCACAACACATACTCTCCACAGAAGTTCCCTACCATTTGTTCTTGTACTTGGCCCCAAATCTCCACCACATATCTGCAGTTAAGTCAGACTCTGCCTGTACAGAGTAGCAGAATTTGCCCCTTCATTCTGGTTTAGAAGTATTATTAGAAAACAGAAATAAAAGAAGATCCAGCAAGAGAGGTAAATCAGTTGTAACATCTCCTACCAAATATCCTATAGATATCTAGCTGTATTAACATTTAAAAAAACCCATTTCTGTATTTTCTAGTATTTAATTTGCATACTCATGCCCTAGATGCAAGATGAGCAGCACAGCACATACTTTTTAAGGTAGTTAACAATCAGAGCTCTCAGCACTTTTTCAGAACTTGTAATTCCAGAACCGTTTTCCGCAACAAATACAGCTTTTTGCATAAATCAAGTTTTATCTCACAGGATAAAAGACAGGCTGTGCTACAAAGGGTAAGTTACTTATGTTCCCTGTTCCCTTTGGCTTCTTTCCCCAGTTCCTCAGTTGAAGAGAGCTGGATTACATGTCCACTGCTGATGAGTCACATTCTGTGAATACCAGAAGATGTTCTTCTTAGCTTAATGCATTCATTTCACTTTTCTGTAAAGTCTGCCATTCAGTAAAACAATAAAATTATCAACATACTTAAGACTTCCTAAAGCCTAACTATGTGTCCATGCTAGTATACAACTTGGAAATTGAGAAGTACTAACTGGAAAATCAAAAGAAAACCAATGTTTAGCTACACAAAGCATAATTTGAAGACTACTCATTTACATAAATATCTGTTAAAAGAAATATCTTAAAAGACGGCACAGCATTAAAAGTAAGCTATTCAATTCACCGTCCAAATTCAGTAACTGCAGACTACACCCGAGACACATTTATAAATTTTACCATTTAATGTTTTAAAAGGTAGAGATTTCCCTCATACCTCCTGCAATAAACTGGTTTGAAGGTGCAATGGGAACTGCATAGCCCATATACAGTAATCCAAAACTGATGCCTTGGTTTTCATAATTGCATTAAGCCTCAGTATTCAAATAAACAGCCATACTTTCATGTTTAACGCTTTGAATTCCATTCATGCTTTACGGGTGCTTAATGCATTAACAGTATGTAACATCTTATAGAAAGTATTTTACAGTATCAAGGACTAATGCTGGTTTTGCAGATTTAAGCAAAGGACTGAGCAAATTTTTCTTTCTGAAAACTTTCTACTAAGCAAGCAGTCAGGAATGACCCAGTATCTGCTTGGCAAATCTGACTATTTAAAGCAGAACAACATTTTTTGAATGCAAGCTCTGGAAAGTAATTTATATCCCTATTTTCCATTCCCTTTTATTGCAACACATTTTCCTGCCAAAATAATCCATGCAAGAATGCATGACTGAAGGAATCTGCTCAGAATTCAATAGTGTACTGTCAACTCCCTTGGTCTGATATACGACTCTTAATTGAGGGAATTGCCATCTTTCTCTCTCTCTCTCTCTCTCTCTTTTTTTTTTACCAGATTTTTAGGACTAGCTCCAAAGAAAGAGATAATAAAGAATAGCTGAAAAAACCTGCATCTCCAGAGCTCTGTGACTAGTTCAATAAAAGCTAGCAGTCATCATTCAGGAAGACAAAGCCTTTGGGTTTTGCAAACCAAATATAGTTAAAATTCTTTACCTTCCATTGACTTAGCAGTGACATCTGAAAGTGGATAGATAAAATTGACAAGCTCCATTCACACAACAATAACTGAATTCTAAATATATGATATCTGATGTGTTCTAAGCAAACACTAAGGCTACGAGGTAGTTAAAATTCTCCCTTTGCTAGAAGGAGCAAGACAAAAAAAAGTCACATTGTTGCACAGAACTGCATTTTTCCAAAATAACTGTACACTAACAAAAATATTTGGAGAACCTACAAGAACGCATATTGGGATTGAAAACAACCTCAGTAAGCACACACTTAGAGATTAATGGATCCACATCTATCTCATTTATTTATTATTCACCAAACAGGAAAAAAAAATATATTACAACTAACTATATATAGCTTTTCCGACTGAGAAATCCTACAGTAATGCATGCTGTGTGCAGTAATAAATGTTTGCAGGATTGAGTCCTAAATTTATTTGCTTATTATTTGAGCAAAGTTATAAGCAGTTGTCATAGCTTGACAATGAAAATACAACATTTCAAAAAGTCACAGGTATTAGACAACAATTATTTTCATGACTACTTTTGGTTACCTAAGGCTAGGGTTTTCATCCTGAATTTTAATCCCCTACTCAAAACACCATTATATGGCAGACCACATAACAGAGCAAAAGCATCTTTTTCAGAAAAATGTTAGCAACACTAAACTTTTATTATGAGTTTTCTCTCTCCCACCTCCCAGAAGTGCACATGCTGTCACAGTTTAATGACTAATAAATGAACTAAACCTTTTCAGACTCTTGTGGGAAATGTCACTTTACACAGGATCAAGAGCATTCAGCTACTACAATCAAATCCACCTGTGTTCAACAAAATTATATAACAATGACACTGGTTCATATGTTGGTAATCTATGTAGATCTTAAAAAAAGTTTCACAGCTCAGCATTTTAGAAGTAATTCACTTGATGCAGGAGATGTATGAATAATCACTAAATGTGTATCAAGAGAGTAAATTTCAGTTGCAAAAGGATCCTTCAAAACATCAAGTACGGAATTCTGGGGGGAAAAGGGAGGTTACACAGATATATACAGATGCAATTAGTGCGAACCACATTGCCTCATGAGGCTGGCACTTGATCTAAATAACTATACACTTGCTCCAAGACAGTGTCTGCAAACATGTTTGTGGTATTTGAACAAGCAATACAAATAGTTGGTCCCTGGTACACTTATCACATTTTGTGCTTTAAGTTCTTTTCACAGCATTAACCCATCAGAAAAAAAGATACGTGCACACAAATAACACTCTCTCTCGTATCCTTACCTAAAAGCTGTCTCAAATCTTGCAGTAATTCTTCACCACATTGCTTAGGCAGAATTTCTTTTTTGTTGCTTTGTGGGTTTTTTTAAACAGCACTTTCAGCATTGTCGCTTTGTTTATTGCTCTAAGCTTCTATTTACTGCCACTTCTCACGTCCTCCCCTAGCACATTTCTTAGCTCTGTAACCTAAGTTTTGCAACTGTTTTGGAGCAATCCAAGTCCCCATCAAGACCAAAAGGTGAAGAAACAAGGGGAACACGGGATAGCTGTTACATTACCCAAATAGTAAGGATTCACCACATAGGTCATCTAGCACCAGAGACAAAAATCATGCCTTCGCTCGACATTTTGCTTACCTCCCGCAATTCAAGCCTCTGAGCCACTGCTTCCAGACTTTCCTGGCCTGTGCTTTCCACCGACAACGTGAACTCCACAAACTCATTGTTGAGCAGCTGGATACGAGCCACCAAGCAACTCTTGCTGGATACTGTGTAACGTCGAGTTCGTTTCAATTTTAACCCAAAAGGTAGAGGCATCTTCTTTTTCTCCCACAGATGGTTACTGATAAAAAGCTACTACCACCGGGACCTTCAGAGGGGACAAGCAGCTATCTCCTCGGAAAAGGTAAGGAGCTGTAAAGTCTCCAGAGATCAACCAGCAGCAGCACTATCCATTAAAGACAAGCAAGTTTTCCACCAAGAGACAAGTAGAAAAGGCATCCACTGGAATCCTAGTAAGGAGCAAAAGAGAAAGAGAATAAATACAAGAATCAGAAATACTGTGACTGAGAGGGGAATAGTAACATGGGAAAAATAACATGTATATTTTTTTCTAAATATAGTCAGTCTACTTTTCCAAAATGCAGAGCTGTTACGCATTCAAATAATTAAATAAGCACCAGAGTTTCTGGTTTTTCCACAGACGACACCAGCCTTTGGCAAGTTGATTATTTTTTTTAAACTCACAAATGAATAATGAGTCTTAATCAAATGTGGCTGCAATATCTTAAAACAAGTAATTCTAAACTGAATCAGTAAATGAAATACCTCTACGAAGTCTGAGTTGCCTATCGTATTTCTAGTACCGAAAAGAGCCATTTTCTTTTAAGAGCAAAACCAGCAATCTGTCTTGGTTTTCAGACGATTCTGTTGGATTAAACACAAACCCAAGCCCCGTAAGCAATTAAGGAAAAAAAAGAAAGGCAGGAAGACAGCCATTAAAGCTCACACCTTAGCCATTTCCTACCAATTAAAATCCAATTCCTCTAATTTTCGCCAAATTGCAGCTAGCTGTACCAATATTTCTTACACTAAACTGCTCTGCGATGTTCCAGGTTACGCTTTGCCTCACCCCAAGAGAGTATGTGAATTCTGAGAACCATTTTTTTTTCCAATTTTTCCTTCAAAAACATACTTATTCCCAGTCTGAAGGCAGCTGCCCATTGCCCCACCCTTTGCAAACACCTTCACGCCTCCTCTCAGCTCCGTAACACAGCAGCTTTGCCTTTCTCCTCTTTCCAAGCGTTTTCTCACCACATGCACCCCGGCCCAACAAATTTGTCATTCCTAACAGTGCTGGTTTTCAGCAGGGGATGCAAAGCAAAAACATTCCCTAAATAAAGAGGTTTATTTTCTGCGGCGGTACGCGTGGTGAGGGCGGCAGCTACAGCGACGCCGGGCGCTGGGGCTACC